AAGGCTTGGATGAGGGTTCTGTGTCGGAGGCAGAGAGGGGGCCAGGGCCGTCTGCCAGTTATCAGATGCCTTCCAAGTCAGACATCAGTGAGGCAGAAGAACAGCTGGAGCCTGTTCCTGATGTGTGCATGCGCAGAGCTGCCAGACGAAGGGAACGGCTAAAGAACAGGGGTCGACTTGGGAATAAGGCCACAGGTGGACGGTGAATGGCCCTCTCAGAGGAAATAAAAGAGGAGCGAAAGGGGAGTGGAGTTTGCAGGAGACCATTAGTTCGCTTCATTGGTTCATGATTCTCCGAGACTCCCTGCCAAGTTCTGCAGAGATCGGCCTGGCAGCTCTCCAAGCCAGATAAGGTCTGTGACTGTAAATCCTCCCTTGAAAGACTTTGCTGGAGGTGAATGAATAGAATTCACAGCAAATTAATAAAAGGTTTTTTTTTCTGTGACAAGGAGTTTATTTCATGCTCTTGGGAAACCTCGTTCAGAACACACCAGTTGCCACTGATCGCTTCTTTCTAGCACAAAACTAGGAAAGGAGGAGGATGGGTTTTGTAGGGTTTGACTCCGCACCCTCTTCTATTGCAGTCGCTGTTCCAGATATAGATGAAATTGCAGCAGAAGCAGAAACAATGTTTGCTGGCAGGTGAGTCTTTACGGTTTCGCTAGGCCAACTGCTTTCCGCTGTCTTTGCTCTCCTAGGCCTAATTAATACTTTTCACTGATCTTTATATTTCCTCCGGGAGGGAAATTCGCTCCCGTTTGGGATTTTTAATCTTCTGACTGTTTTGCAAACTCCTGATGGCTTTTAGTCAGCTTTGAAGCCCCCGCTGCTTCGCCTTGATGGAAATTGGACTGGCCCGGGGTGCCTCTGCCAGTAATAACAGGGCTCGGGAAGGCCACGTGCGGCTCCACCATGCTCTGTTTTTGGTTGCGACAGCCACCTGCTGCTCTCTGTCAGTGAAAACGGAGCTTGGTGTGTGTGTGTGTGTTTGTGTGTGTGCACGCGGTTGGCAGAGGACAGCAGGAAGCCATTGCGGCTGAAAACAGAGCTGGGGAGACCGTTTTCGCTGGAAGAGCGCTTGGGCCACCACAGGCGCCCCTGACACAAGTGACGTCAAACTGGCCACGCCCCCTTGGCCACACCCACCCGCCCCTGCCCCCAAGGTCAAATATAACCCTGATGTGGCCCTCAATTAAATTGAGTTTGATTCCCCTGTCATTCCATGTTTCCCCAAAAATAAGACCCTCTGAAATAAGCGCTTGGCCTTATTTTCGGGGAGGTCTTGTTATTTTTGAGGTGCAGGAGGCGGCGAGCGTGGTCACCTCATGGCTGCGGCTGTGTCGCACTGTTTTCAGGGAAGGCTTTATTTTAGCGCATGCGCTCAAAAGCCCGATTGGGCTTATTATCCCGGGAGGTCTCATTTTCAGGGAAACAGGGTAGAATCTCCACTCAGAGAATCTCCTCAGGTCTCCTCAACTTTGGAGTGAAGCACAAGGGATCCACCTGACAGAACGAATGTTCTTCAGAACGCCTTGTCTAAATAAGCTTAATTTTGCGCGTGTTGCCGTGACGAGATTTTCTATTTTATTTTATTCTTTGTAGGAAGGAAAAAAACGCCGTGCAACTAGACGATGAAGGGGGCAGGACGTTTTTACGAGTCCTGATTCATCTCATAATGCACGATTACCCTCCTTTGCTCTCGGGAGCCCTGCAGCTCTTGTTTAAGCATTTCAGCCAGCGGTCAGAGGTGCTGCAAGCATTCAAGCAGGTACATAAGGGCCCCAGAATCCGTGTGGTGGGAGTGCTCACCTCACTGTCAGAAGGCTGTGAGTTCAATCCTAGGTAGAGGCTGATATTTCTCTCTGTGTGTGCATAATGAGAATATATCTGCTGAATAAAACTCCATATGGGCGACAGGGAGGCATCCGGCCAGTAAACACTCTGCTAGCTCCACTCAGTTGCCCATTCCGCAAGGGATTACGGGGTTGTTAAATGACAAAGATGATGATGAAGCATGAGTCAAATAGGAAGATCGATGCAGTGGCCTAGAGGTGAAGATCTCGCCTCACAATCAGGAGGTTGTGAGATCGATCCTAGGTAGATGCTGATATTTCTCTTTGTGTGTGCATAATGTGTGTGCATAATGAGAATATATCTGCTGAATAAAACTCCATATGGGCGACAGGGAGGCATCCGGCCAGTAAACACTCTGCTAGCTCCATTCAGTTGCCCATTCCGCAAGGGATTACGGGGTTGTTAAATGACAAAGATGATGATGAAGCATGAGTCAAATAGGAAGATCGATGCAGTGGCCTAGAGGTGAAGATCTCGCCTCACAATCAGGAGGTTGTGAGATCGATCCTAGGTAGATGCTGATATTTCTCTTTGTGTGTGCATAATGTGTGTGCATAATGAGAATATATCTGCTGAATAAAACTCCATATGGGCGACAGGGAGGCATCCGGCCAGTAAACACTCTGCTAGCTCCATTCAGTTGCCCATTCCGCAAGGGATTTCTCTCCGTGTGTGCATAATGAGAATACAGCTAGCTCCATTCAGTTGCCCATTCCGCAAGGGATTACGGGGTTGTTA